GGGGGGGGGGGCAATGTGATACCTGAAGATGGGGGTCGTGGGTCAGAGCTGCAGGGGTGTGTCCCGATTCAAGTCCACTCTCACCATCCACTGCGTCTGCGCACGGCCCTTGGCCAGTCCCAAAGTTCAGAGCTGAAGATGGGGGTCGTGGGTCAGAGCTGCAGGGGTGTGTCGTTTTATACAATTTTTAATTTTTGTTGTTTCATACATTCATTCATCTATTTTACATATAGAACATGCATTGTATTTCATATTGTATTTTAACTACCATTGGTTGGTTGGTATATGCTGTAGAACCAACTGACCAGGCTGGCCCTCCACCTGTTCTCAAGATGTAGTAAATTGCACAGGAGGATTGGTCTATGCTGACTATTACCTTGTCTTTTCAAGGTCCCTTTGAAACTTTCCTATTCCTCCACCCCTGCTCCCAATCCGTGCAGTAACCTCTGCTGTCCTATTGATTTCTACCCCTCCCCTTCTCCCATTCCCTCCTACTTTCCCCATTATGGACATTTATACACATTGTACTAGTTATCCTTCTGTTTTTTACAATAATAGTCTTATGCAGTATTTGTCCTTATGAGATTGAGTTCACTCAGCATAATGCTCTCTATACCTTATTATATAATACTTACAAAATCTTTATTCCTTAGTGCTTCATATATTGTTCCATTGTGTGAATATACCACAATTCCTCAGTCCATTCATTTGTTGATGGGCATTTGAGCTGTTACCATATTCTCGCTATAGCAAATAACACTGCTGTGAACATAGGAGAACATATTCCCATTCATGTCTCAGTTCTAATTTCCTTGGAATATATTCCTAACAGTGCAGTAGCTGGATCATATGGGATTTCTGTGTTCAGCTTTTTGAGGAAACACCAAACTGCCTTCTAAAATGGTTGTACCATTATGCAGTCCCACCAGCAGTTCATGAGAGTCCTAATCTCTCCACATCCTCTCCAACATTTGTAGCTTGTTTTCTTGTTAAACTTTGCTATGGTAGATTTTTTTAAGGGTAAATATATTTAGTTTTTAGTCAGCCTAAACAAAGATTCTCACCACTGGGCCAATTGGCAGCATCAGTATGGTTAGTGAAGAGATTGAGATAGTTAACAGTTTTAGTTTACTTGACTCCACAGTCAACACTCTTGGTAACAACAGCCAGGAAATCAAGAGATGAATTGCATTGGGAAAGTCAGCTGTGAGGGACCTCTCAAGAGTACTGAAGAGCGATGACGTCAGGCTGGAGACTAAGGTGCACCTGATCGGGGCTATAGTCTTTGCAATTATGTGCTATGAATCAGAAAGTTGGACAGTCAATAGGGATGATAGAAAGAGAATTGATGCCTTTGAGCTGTGGTGCTGGAGAATCATGTTGAATATACCAGGGACTGGTAGGAGAACAAACATGTTTGTCCTGGAGAAGGTGAAGCCAGGATGCTCCTTGGAGTCAAGGATTCTGAAGCTTCTTCTGACATACTTTGGTCATGTTGCAAGGAGGGACTGGTCCTTGGAGAGGGACATCATGTTTGGCAGAGTGGAGGGGCGGCGCAGGAGAGGAAGACCTTCGATGAAATGGATCGATTCTGTGACTGGAGTGGTGGGAATGAGTGAGTTTGAGATGGTGAGGTTGGCACAGAATAGAACATAGAACAGTGTTTAGAGCTCTTGTACATAGGGTCGCTATGAGTCACAAGCGACTTGATAGCACATAACAACTACAACACAGTGTTGCCTGTTCTCCAAATAAATCAAGGCAAAAACAAGTGACTTAAAAAAAGTATCAGTTCCATTTCTCTGTGTTCTAATGTGCATATGAAAAGCAGCAGTCAAGATGACAGGTGAAATTTGACACAGTAAATAAATTTTCCATTCATTTCATGCACATGTTTCAGGACATTGATTACATTTATTACAATTCCTGCAATATAATTAATAATATAATAATGGTTTTCTCAATTCCTCCTTGTTTCATGTATACATTCACCTTTCTTTTCTGTTTCTTTCTGCCTTCTGAGTCCATTTTGTTGCCCTTCTTTCTAGTGCCCTTTATGTCTCATGTGGTTGATTATGCTAAGGAGTGCATACTTCCCTGCTATTACAGTTGCCTTAGTGGCCCATTGTTTAGCTGTAATTTTAGGTACAGGATTGAGGGTATCTAAGGGCCATAGAGTGTATCAGGGTTCCACTGGTGTCTACCAGGCCAGTAACAGTAAGTGAAGGCTTTTATGACTTTAAGGTGTTTGTTTTGTTTTCTTTATACATGAATGGAGGTAGTTTATGAAATCCTTAGATGTGAGTGACTTTAAGGTGTTTTTTTAAAAAAAATTATTATTTCAATGGAAATTTATAGAGACTTTGGATTTCCATTCATTCATTGTTATACTTTTCTCCCCTTCTATCCTTCCCCCCTAGTACACTACCCTCTTGGAAAAGTAAAAGAAAAATTCTTTCATTGTTTTACAATCCATCCCCCAGGTCCACTCCACTATACAGCCTTTGCTCTGGACTCCTGTCATGACAAAAATATCTAATAATTTTCCCTCTTAAACACTTTTTCCCCTCATCTGTTTCAATGCAGTATACACTATTGAACTCATTCTTCTCAGTCTCCTCCCAACCCCGAGGTCAGTCCTGCTTTACAACAGTGGCACCATGCAGTATTTGTCCTTTTTGTGACTGAAATACTTCACTCAGTATAATGTCCTCCAGGGTCACCCATTTTAAATAATATTGCATGAGTTCCTTGTTTTTCAGTGCAGCATAGTATTCCATTGTGTGAATATACCACAGCTTCTCTATCCATTCGTTTGCTTTTAAGTTTTATTCTATGTTTTTCTCCTCTATCCAGGATCTTCTATTGTGATCCTAGTTGAAACAGTTGGTAGCCAAAAAAATACTCTCTGAATTTTCTGGTCTCACGGTAGTGGATGCTGAAATTCATGTGATCAATTAGTCCTTTGGACTGTTTCCTTTCATCTTTGATTTTCTTTCTTGTTTTGGGCTGAGGAAGAACAATAGTTATCTGTATCTTAGATGGTTATTTACAAGTTTTTAAGATTCCATTTGCTGATCAACAAAGTTGGATGTAGAACATTGTTTCTGTGGATTGTTAGACCTGTTGATCTTCATGTCTCTTAAACTATGGTCCTGAGCCTCCAGATTTTGATATGTTCTTAATGCATTTCATGTACTTGTTCCTGAAATACTCCTCTGAGGCCTGTAACATATTTTCCAATATGGAAGCTTAATAAACATTAATTACTTTTGTTTTGACATTTCAAACAATTATTTTTTAATGTAGTTAGTGAGAGTTCTCTTTGAATAAGATTTTTAAAAAAAAAAACATGTTATTAAGCAACATTTAACTAAAAGTTATTTTTTGTATACCAAATAAAATTAATATTCTTGTACAATTTTGAAATGAGCCAAATTAGAATTTACCTTTAATAGAGGAAGGGTAGAAAGAATATAACCAAAATCTTTCCTTTCTTTCATGATCATATGACTTAAAAAGTAAATATCAGCAAAATGCTATCTATCCTTTAGTAAAATTAAATTTTTTCTTTCCAGGTTAAACTACAGAACAACATATCATACCAGATGGCAGACATACATCATTTAAAGGGTAAGAAGTTTAATTACAGATTAAACATTAAACCAAACTACCAACAAATTCCCTAAAATATTTACTGTCTAGTACAGTTTATTCCAACTTATGATAACCCCATGTAGGTCAGAATAGACTTGTACTACAGAGGATTTTCAGTAGCTGATTTTTTTTAAAGTGGAGAACCAGACCTTTTCTCCAAGGTCCATCTAAGTGGACTTGAACTTACAACCTTTCAACTAGGTGTCATATCCTTGAACCATTTATACTACCTAGGGGCTCCGAAGATAAAAAGTCAGTAAATTTCTAAAATCTTCAGTATTTTTAAGAATTGGGAGCTAGACAACAGAATGAAATAAGGCTTTCAAAGAAAACACAAAATATTTTCCTTTTTCTAATGGTTTAATTTTAAAAATTAATGTTACTTTGAATGTAATAAATACAAGTTAAAATTTGAAAGATGTATTTTAATCTTGTAATCTAGTCAGGATGTCAACAGGAATGTCAAACAGTCCAAAGGACTAGTTGTCAATAGGACTAATTAAAAGCTCATTTCTACTGATATTTTATTTATAATTTTTTTTTTGTCAGTGGTATTTTAAGCCTTTAATTTGCAAATAGAAATGAAGCTTTCTTTTCTGACAGAGGAATTTTCAAGTATTGTCAGTGTGAAATTTTGGGGGGAAGCAGGGAGGCCATTCTAAATCTTAAAATCTAGTAAGCCTTACAGTCATTTTGAAGTTAACTTGCTGTCTTAATTATCAAATGCTGTTAAACAGAGAAGAGATCTGGTGGTCTAGTTTTAATGAGCTGTGCTGCCACCTCAAAGGCAAGTGGGTCTAATCCATCAGCTACTCTACAGGAGGGAGATGGGAGATGATTCTCCCATGTAATTTACAGTCTCTAAAAACCTGCTCCAGGGTCACTTTTGAATTGGTTCTGATTTGACAGCACATAGCAACAATAAAAACAGATGTAAAACAGACACAAGTATATAGTTTTTACACTGTCTTGCAGTGTAGGAGGCTAGAAGTCTAAATTCAATATACCAGATCTACATGCATTCAGATGCCAGGTCTCTGTTAGTTTTAAAGGAAAGTCATTGTTTCTGTCAGCATCTGTGGACCAGACATTCCATGGAGACCTCTGGATATCTTTGCTTTTCCTTGGTGTCAAGGAGCTTTGTCATGTTGGAGCCTGGGTCCAAAAAAGATACATTCCACCCATGGCCATTATGTTCACCTTGATTGGTTCCTTTTCCTTCCCTTTTATCTTTAGTGAGGTAAAAGGTACTGCAGGCCACACCCTAGGGATTATATAAAATTAGAGTTGTGATAGGGTTAAGGAGTGTTGCATTCAACTCTTAATCCCTACAACTCTCAGATCATGGGGGATCTTCATGTAATGATCCACATTATATCGTTTTTGATATAACGTGTTGTCAAGTCAAATATGACTCATAGTGAACCCCTGAATAGCAGATATGAGCCCTGTCTTATCCTATGACATCCTCACACTTCCTGATACAGAGCCCATTGTGGCAGTCACCAGGTTGTGTCAGGCCACCTGGTTGGTTTAGTTAGGGTCTTCTTCTCCTTCACCAACCTTCCACCCTTCCAAACATCATGTCTTTCTCCAAGGAACAGCCCCTCATAGCAACATGCCCAAAGTATATGAGCTGAAGCCTCATCATTCTTGCCTCCAAAGAGCACTCCAAGACATATTTGTTTGTTCTTTGGCAGGCCATGAGATGTTCAGTGCCAACACCACAGCTCAAAGGTATCAGTTCTTCTGTCATCCCTGTTCAATGTCCAGCTCTCAGCTGCATAACAAGTGAATGGAAAGACCATACATACCCTGAATCAGACACACCATAGTTCAGTGATTGGAAAGACCATACCCTGAATCAGACACACTGTAGTTCTCAAACTGACATCATTACTCCTCAATAGTTTAGAGAGGTCCCTAACTGCAGACTTTTCCAGTGCAATGCGTCTCTTTATTTCCTGACTGCTGGTACCAAGGATGTTAGTTGTGGATCCAAGTAAGATGAAGTTGTTGACAGTTTCAGTCTCTTCTCCATCCATTATGGTAATTATATCATTATGTACATATTTTTTATAGAGACATAATTAAATCTGTGATGCTTGTCTCCATTTATTTTATTGAACTGAGGGGGGGAAAGGTCTAAGTCATAAGGGACTATAATGTTTTATCTTCCGTTTTATTCTGCCCTGAGAAGCATGAACTTGAAAAGAACCTTAAAACCTCACAAATAATTGGAACCAGAGTTTGTGCTGCTTGCAGCTCTATATATTTTAGAAAAAGGGAATAGGGATCAGGTAACAGCTCAGATGTGTTGTTTAGGTCTGTGTGGCCTGAGATCATTATACTTTCATCTGGAGAGAGGGAGGACTGAGAAAACTATGGTTATTAACTATGTTAGAGGATTAATAGCATAAGAAGAAAGATTTTTTTTTTATACTCAGGCACATTTTAAATAACACTAACTACAAGTATTTTATAGGAATTTCATAGCTTTTGGTACTTGATTACTATATAATTAACTATTAGGCATATTGTCAAATTTTTAACTTATATACATCAGCAAATGTTCACTGTGACAAAACTCAGAATCTTAAATAGAATTACTTGTATTATTTAGATATATTTTTAGCCTAGCCTTTTTTATTACACGTGTATAATTATAAAGATACGATTTTATCTACTTTTTAAAAAACTTACATTAAGAGTGTTTTGGAGTGCCTTATTTAGTTGCCTATTGAATAAGGAGTTTTACTGTCAACCCAAAGGAATGCAGTTTCAATCCATCAACTGCTCTGGGGAAGAAAGAAGGCCCATCCCCTCCTGTGCAATTTATTCCTCTGAGAACCTGCTATGAGTCAGTTCTGACATAGTTTTACATAATAGCAACAATAAGAAGATCATAAATAAAAATTGCCAATATTTTAAGAATACTATAAACTTTGCTTAAAAGCAGATGCTACAGTTTGGTTTTATTTAACATTGGTACATTGTGTTTATGAATTATACTTTAGGCTTGTTTTTTAAATTTTAGTTTTAAAAGCTGTTGTTGGCTTAAATAGTATATAGATCATTGTTTTTGTTTATAACTGTTCTCTGTTTAGGAACTTAAAAATTACTATTTTGTTTAACCCATAAGCCTCTTTAGCTAATTTTAAAATTATCTAATCAAGAAACTAGCATTTCTTTTTCTCTACATTTCTTCTTTTATCTTTAGACTCAGATGATGATGGAGTATATAACCTAGGAAATGTGGGACCAATAGTTACAGATTAAATGTTTTCAGAAGAACATCTGGCTCAGGTTTTAATTTACCAGCTAGCTTGGAATTTCATTTTGTTTCATTACAACTAAAAGCTTTCAGCCCTAGTCTGAAAACTGTGAGCTTTGATAATTGAATTTTGGTATATGCTAAATAGCTTAACAGTATATGTGAAATAACCAGCATATCTGAAAACATGAAATTTCCTATTTCTATAAAGCAGATAAGTATAGACTTAGATGGATTTTTATTTTTTAACTTCCTCATAACATGTATTAATGTCTACATATTTAGGGGAAAGTTATAATTTTTAATTTCAGATTGACATGAAAGCCATTAAGACTTATTTTAAAAATGAATTTTATTATAATTATAATAAATTACATTATTTTTGGATTATAAGAGGTAATTAAATATTAGATTAGCAATGTGATTTAAGTCACTAAGAGTATGAGTTAAGGAATTGAGAAGGGTATAAAATTTTAAAATATCCACCAAGTTCTCAATAGAAAATATTACAGTTAAAAAACAACATAGAAACGCACAACCTACCCAAACAGACACAAACCGAAATTGAACATCTGAACAGACCCATTACAAAAGAAGAAATTGTCAAGGTAATACAACAATTTTCAACCAAAAAAACCCCTGGACCAGATGGTTTTACAAATAAATTTTATCAAACATTCAGAGAACAGTCACCAGTTCTACAGAAACTGTTTCAGAAAATAGAAAAAGATGGAATTCACCCAGACTCAATCTATGATGCAAACATATCCTTGATACCAAAGCCAGGAAAGGACACCACCAAAATAGAAAACTAGGCCAATATCCCTTAAGAACATAGATGCAAAAATCCTGAATAAAATATTGGCCAATAGGATCCAACAATACATCAAAGAAATAATCCATCATGACCAAGTGGAATTTATAACAGGTATGCAAGGATGGTTCAATATAAGAAAAACAATTAAAGTAATTCATCATATTAACAAAGCAAAGAACAAGAACCACATGATCCTATCAGTTGATGCAGAAAAGGCCTTTGACAAAATCCAACACCCTTTTCTGATTAAAACACTCAATAAAATAGGACTAGAAGAGAATTTCTTCAATATGGTAAAAGTATTTATGAACACCTGAGAGCCAACATTATTCTCAATGGAGAGAGGTTAAAAGCATTCCCTTTAAGAACAGGAACTAGGCAAGAATGCCCATTATCACCTCTCTTATTCAGTATTGTATTGGAAGTCTTAACGATAGTATTAAGACAAGAGAAAGACATAAGAGGTATCCAGATTGGCAAAAAGGAGGTAAAATTATCTCTCTATGCAGATGATATGATAGTATACAAACCCTAAAGACTCAGCAAGAAAACTATTGGACATAGTTGACCAATTCAGCAAAGTAGCAGGACACAAGATCAACATACAAAAATCAGTTGGATTTCTCTACAGTGACAAAGAGAATACAGAACTGGAGCTAAGAAAAACAATGCCCTTCACAGTAGCTAATCACAAGATAAAATATTTGGGAGTAAGTATAACTAGAAGCACAAAGGATCTATTCAAAGAAAATTACAAATCATTACTACAAGAAACAAAAAGAGACCTGGAGGAGTAGAAGAATATCCCTTGCTCATGGATAGGAAGACTCAATATTGTGAAAATGGCAATACTACCAAAGGCAATTTACACGGTCAATGTAATTCCAATACAAATACCAATCCCATTCTTCAACAAGATGGAAAAGGCAATCTCCAGCTTCATTTGGAATGGAAAGAAGCCCCGAATAAGCAAAGCACTCCTTAAAAATAGAAAAAAGGTAGGAGGCATCCCACTCACTGATTTAAAATCCTACTACACTGCCATGGTAGTTAAGACAGGATGGTACTGGTACAATGACAGACACATAGATCAATGGAATAGAATTGAGAACCCAGAAATCAGCCCACCTATATATGGTCAGCTGATTTTTGACAAGGGGGTGAAATCAGTTAAGTGGGGAAATGACAGCCTTTTTAACAAATGGTGTTGGCAAAATTGGATAACTATCTGCAGAAGACTTAAGCAAGATCCATACCTCACTCCATATACAAAAACCAACTCAAGGTGGATCATGGACCTAAGACTAAAATCAAGGACTATAAACTTCATTCAAGAAAAGCTTGGAAGAACTTTAGTAGTCCTAATCCACAACATAAACAGTCTTCCAAGTATCTTGAAAAATTTACAACCAGGAGAAGATAAAATAGATGAATGGGACCTTCTAAGAATCAAATCCCTTTGCACATCCAAAAACTTCTCCAGCAAGGTAAAAAGGGAAGCCACAGACTGGGAAAAAGTATTTGGTGATGACATGTCAGATAAGGGACTTATATCTAAAATTTATCAAATACTTGAGCACCACAAGAAGATAAAGGTAAATAATCGAATAGAAAAATGGCCACAGGATATGAACAGACACTTCACCAAAGACATTCAGATGGCCAATAAGCACATGAAGAAATATTCAAAATCCCTAGCTCTTAGAGAGATGCAAATGAAGACAACTATGAGATATCATCTCACCACAGAAAGACTAGCAAAATTTAACAGAACAGTTAGCAACAAATGCTGGCGAGGTTGTGAAGAGACTGGAACCCTTATTCACTGTTGGTGGGAGTGTAAAATGGTGCAGTATGGCGCTTTCTCAAAAAGTTGCAAATAGAGATACCATTTGACCCAGCAATTCCACTACTGGGAATATACCCTAAAGAGACCATAACCGACATCCAAGCAGATATATGCACACCCATGTTGATCGCGGCTTTGTTCACAGTAGCAAGGAGTTGGAAACAACCTAAATGCCCATTAACAAACGAATGGATAGAGAAGCTGTTGTATGTTCACACAATGGAATACTTTGCTGCTTGAAAAACAAGGAACTCATGCAATATTATTCAAAATGGGTGACCCTGGAGGACATTATGCTGAGTGAAGTATCTCAGTCACAAAAGGATAAATATTGCATGGTGCCACTGTTGTAGAATGAGGCTGACATTCGGGTGGGGGTAAGACTGAGAAAAACTGGATAAATTATGTATACTGCATTGAAGCCGATGAGTGAGAGAAAAGTTTAAAAGCAATATATTTTAGGGCATTATGATTATCATAAGAGTTTGGAATGAGGGTTGCAGAGTGGAGTATACTCAGGGTGAGGGTGGGAGGTGTATTGTATACCAATGAAGGAGTTTTTCTTTTGCTTTTAAAGAAGAGCAAACTGGGGGTGGGGGTGGGGTGGGGTGGGCTGGGAGAAAAGTGCAACAATGAATGAATGAAAATCCACAATCTCTGTAAATGTTCATTGAAATGAATAATAAAAAACAAAAACAACAAAATATTTATAACAAGAAAATATTACAGTAAGTAAATTTTATTACTTATGTTGTGTGGATAGAGCAACTTGCTGAGCTTCGTCAGGAATTTCTTCGACAAGAAGACCAGCTTCAAGACTATAGGAAGAACAATACCTACCTTGTGAAGAGATTAGAATACGAGAGGTAAGATGTAACAAATGTTTATGATTCTGAAATATATGTTTACCTTTTAGACTTAATTTTCTTCCTTTCTCATTTCTGCTTTCCTTTCCTTCCTTTTCTTAAGGCCTTATAAGTGACTTTTCTATTATCTTTAAACATTCACTTTTATTCAACGCAAGGATGATTTTTATAATCTTTCTTTAAAAACTTACTTGTTTTCAAAAAGCAGAATATGAGAGATGCCAGTAACAATTCTAAAATACATAAAAAATATCTTAGATTGATTGTGTAATTTAAAAAGATGCAAATAGCCAAGTCCCAAGCATACATTACAAGGCACAATTTTTTTGAGATGTTTCCACATAAACTACCATTTCACAAATTTTATTGTGTTTTTTTTTTTACATATTAAAGAAAATAAAACATTTCTTTAAGGTGTATTAATTGGTTTTGTGTACCATCCATTCACAACTGAACCATAGCTTACCTTCCGGTAAGATTTCAGAGACAGTAAATCACATGGAAGGAGATTGGGCATCTTTCTGCCACAGAGGAGCTTCAATCTCATATCTTTGCTTTGGCATTTCAGTTCCATACCACTAAGCCACTGTATCTCCCTAAGGTGTATTGAGTGTGCCTATATTTCAGGGTTCATTGTGAGACAGAAAATTTTACCAGCTCTGAAGCCAGAGCTGGAAGTTACCCCAAGAATAAATGAGTGAATGGCAGTGTTAGCTGTTGCTTTGCTTCAGCTACCTGCTCACATCTCAGATCTTGCTGATAAAGTTGTACAGCCTCTTAGAGAACTCTAGTAGTTCTCCCTTTCACTCTTTAAGCATCTTTACTATATCTTTAATCATTTTTATTTTTCTTCTATATTTGAGACCTACACACCAAAAGGGAGCTCTTGTTATCTTAAAAGTTGGCTTTTTGAGCTGTTACGTTATTCCCCTTTGATCTCCAGCTACCTTAACGGTAGATATCTGGTCTTGCAAATCATTAGCAGCTGTGGGACTAGGATAAGAAAGAGTGTTTTCCACACTGGGCAGCAAGATTTGAGGGAGACTGGAGTAAGACCCTAGTGAAAGATTCTGGTGAGAGTGAGATCCTGGTGATGTTGGAGACACTGACATTGCTGTGGAGGGAAGCACTCTGGCAAGGTGTAACCTTAGGCTTCTTGAATTTTTGCTGGCACAGTTTGTTTGCCATATACTTGAGGGGAAAGCTGACTTATAACTGCTCTGAGGCAAATTTTGTGGAAGATTGAGGAAACCAGAGGCTTCTTGAATTTGTATTGCTGAACTAAAACCAGGGATTTTACTAATTAAGGAATTGTTTTGTTATTAATATGGTTTGGGACTGCTGGACTAAACCTAGACTTTGCATTGTGGGATAGTCTTTGCTCCTTCTACTCCCCAATCTCTTTCCCTAATAAACTCCACTCTTGGTACCACAACTGTGAGTAAAGTCTGTGAGTCAAAAACAAATATTGAACCCATTGATTAGTAGAAACAGGTGCAGGAGCATGGGGCATAGTGTGTCTAACCTAGCGGCTGTCTGTTTACTGCTATGGATATTATGATGGGGACAGTTCCCCTTTATGAAGCAGGTAGAAGTTAGACATGGCCACCCCCACATCATTGCATCTACTCCTTACGCAGGTAAAGAGTTGTGCTGCTAAACCAAAAGCAGCCAGTTCAAATCTACCAGCTGCTCTATGAGAGGACAGGCAATCTCTTCCTGTGAAGTTTATAGCTTCTGAAAACCCACTGGAGAGTAAGCTAATACTTGGTTCTGTTTCAACAGTATCTAACAACCACAGTACCACCAAAATTTGGAAATATTTGAATATATGACTAGGTATTATATGTATGACAACAATTTGGAACCAGAGATGCACTGCAAAGTGCTCTGGAGGAGAGAGGGGGAGAAAATGTGTAACAATGAATGACTAAGAAAATAAGCCAGTAAAAAAACCCTTCTAAAAATTGAAAATAATCACTGATTTTAAAGCACCTTTTATATAATAACAAATTGATAAATGTGAATTTATGTATGTATATTAACATGCATATGCATTTAATTAGAATTATCAAACCAAAACTAGTAGAGCTATAGAAAAATATTTACAAATGAATAAAATAATTTTTAAAAACAGTCTTCCTTCATATTTGCTGTGAGAACAAAACTGATAAAACATTTTTACTCAGGAATTCTGAGGTGCACACACCACATATTAACCTAACACTATTCAATGCTATTCCTTAAGTCCATAGAATTAAAGATTTTCATTTATTTAGAGGTAATATGTTGTTTTGTGATATTAATGTACTAATTGTTTAACCTTTCTCAAATGCTGTTAATACTGTCAGAGTTTTCCTTTTCTCATCTTACATGCATCACAGCTATAAAAATCTTTTTTTTGCATTTATAGACTTTATAGTTTAATTACTTATTGCTATTGAGTTCATTCCAACTCATAGCCAGCACATTAGCAACTATCTACCAGTTTACCAAGCCTAGCTATAAAAATCTTAATGCAAAAATAATTCTACTCTCTTTTGCTGTTTCATTGATTTAGATTATCTAATACACAATTTCAGAGATAAATTGTTTTATCAATTTTTGTTCTCAAAGCAAAGATGAAAGGAAGACTGATTTTTAAAATTTTTTAT